TGAATGAGCAACTTTGGAGATCCGCTATTTCCGTTTATTTCGTGATTTGGTCAATTGTTTTCGTATGACCTGAATTTCTGAATCTTGCGAACCCGAACTTTTCAATTCGAACTTTCACCGGTAGAGCGAGGCATTTTGCCTGTGGAGAGACCGTGCGCGAAGCACCATTGGTCACTACTGGAAAAATTAGCGAATCCGCTGTTCTTTTTCGACATGTCCTTAGGACATTCGCTGCTTTCACGTGTTTTTCAATTCGAAGCCACTGCGTAACTCCGGTTTCTTTTGCTATTTGCCATTGTGTAGAGAAGTCAGGAAGATACTCTTAATACCAATTGGGTACGGCAAGGCGTAGTGCTCTACTCATTGCTTTTGAATTTGTGCCTGTGTTTTTGTTTCGACCTAATACCTACATAGGTACATGCATGAGTATTGAGCACATTTATATGCGCCCTTCAAGGCTCAAGAAAGAGGTATATAGAGTAACCCTGTAGACAAGCACTGACCGGCAACAGGCTGAGAGTAAAAGAGTGCTGTCATTGGGGAAGACGCCTTAGCTGATCTTGAAGTAGACGCTAGGGCCCCTCTTCAGCCCTCCCCCCCAATCCCCCCCTCCCGTTTTTTTTTTAATTATTTAAATTCAAAACTTGCACACTTTTCAATTACTAGTTTAATTCTTTTATATTAATATTTATGTTTATATATATATATATATATCTAGACATATATATACATAGACACACATATATATATATATATCTAATGTATGTATGTATGTATGTATGTATATCTTTGCATTTATATATACACTTATATATATATATATATTTATGTACTTATATAAATGTATATATATATAAATACATATGAATATGTATATACATATCAATGTGTATATATTTATATAATTATGTTTGGATCAGTATATAAATATATATATATATATTTTTTAGAAATACACATACATATTTACTTATAGATAGATAGACGTATATATATATGACATATTTGTGGTTGTTTTTATACACAGCTTTGATCCCAAAATATACTACAAATAATCACGTAATTATACCTACATGTTGTATCCCTAAACCCTAAACCGAACCCTGCATATACATACATGCATACATACATACCTACCTACATACATAGATAGATAGATAGATATATATATATATATATATATACATATGTATATAGATTGATTGATTGATTGATTGATTGAAGAAAACCATAGAAAACTTGCAGAAAACCATGGAAAATTGAAGAACACCGGGGAAACATTGAAGAAAACAATGGAAAAATTGAAGAAAACCATGGAACAATTGAAGAAAACCAGGGAAACATTGAAGAAAACCATGAAAAAATTGAAGAAAAACATGGGAAAATGGAAGAAAACCATGGAACAATTGAAGAAAACCAGGGAAACATTGAAGAAAACCATGGAAAAATTGGAGAGGCACGAAACCCAAGAAAGGAAGGGGGGAAGGAAGGAGGAAGGAAGGAAAAAAGGAAGGAAGGAGGATATGAGATAACGAAAAGCAAGGAAGGAAAGAAGCAAAAACAAAGAAGAACGCTGCTTCGAAGAAAATACCAAAGAATAATAGGAAAAAGGAAGAATGGCAGCAGGAAGAAGCAGATCGAGAAGGAAGAACGAAGGAAAAGGAAAAACTTAACAGAAAGGAAGAGAAAGAATAACGATGAGATCTGCCTCGTCTGGTGCTTGCTGTGACATGCCTAGCCACGAAGTGTTTTTTTCATCTGACTTTCACACTTTCTCTGATATCCGACCTTCCATCTCCAGACATGCTGTCGCGTCGCATGTATGAGCATCGCGTTATGGAGCAGCTTGCTTGCTGGGACTCGACCCTTTATTCGGTATCTGTTGGGATCTCAAGAGAGTTCTCCAGACGTGTGATCGCCTCGCATGTATGAGCATTGCGTTATGGAGCACCTTGCTGGGACTCTTCGTCTGAGTCGGTATCCCAAGAGTAGTTGTGATTTAATATGCATTGGTATCTGTTGTCTGCTGACAGTCGACCTTTTCTTCGACATCTGACCCTCCCTCCCCTGTCTCCAGACACGTACGAGTCACTTGTATTAGCATACCTCGGAATTTTCTTGTTTGATACGGACCACCTGGATATTGCGGACAGATCGGCAATCGACATCTGACCCTCCCTCCCTTGTCTCCAGACACGTACGAGTCTCACTGGAATTAGCATACCTCGGAATTTATTTTTTTTTGATGCAAATTTTATTTTTTTTTGATGCGTGTACCACGTTGAAATCTTGGACAGTTCCATAGAAGTCCAGGGGAATATTTTTTTTGATGCAAATCAATTTTTATTTTGATACTTATGGGGATATTTTGTTTTTGATGCGTTTTTATTTTTTTTTGATCCTTCACCCTTTTTTTATAGCTCCAGATGATCTAGATGGGTACAAAATTAGATAGCCCTGAAGTTCTATCTTTTTTAGTTGTTGATGATGTAGTTTATCAAAAACATCCATCGTATGATCATAATGTTCTTTTTTTTGTTGGTCAATATTGTGTTGATATTACAACATAATTAATCATAATATCAAAATGTCAATATGTTGATTATGTCTGTATTATGATGTTACCATTTTTTGGTTTTCATGGCACCGCTAAACAACAATACCAATATGTTGGTTATGTTTTTTCAAAAACAATGTAGTATCATAAATCATAATATCTATTTTGTTGATCTATATTGTGTTGAGTGTGCATGTATTTATTTTTATGTATTTAGACACTGTGCATACGATACACTCCCAGTATATCATTACGGATATTATGCACCCAAACTATAGCATATATATATACATATACGTACACCGTTTATATATCCCACATTTGTTGGATAGCCCATATTGATCGTATTCATTTGTATACCCAACAAAAAGGCGCGCAGACCTGAAAATAGGGAATGTATACCCCCAGTTATAGCTATTTTAGTCAGGAACGCATGGGAATGTCATGACAATCTATTGAAATCGGGGGTAAACCCATTTGAGCTACCCAGGATGGGAACTCAACCACAAGCAATGGGTATTTGAGAAATGTTGACAAAACTTGGGGATTTCGGATTGAACAAAAAGGGGTGAATGAAAATACTTGCGAATCACATAAATATATGTGTAGACAGTTATGTTATGCTATAGGCATAGGCTCGCATATATAGAAGTGTCCCTTTGTGGCGACAAACATCTCATGGATTTGAGAACTTCTCGAAGGCTGCCATTGTGCAGATTCTGAGGTGGTGAAACATGGTGAAACAATTTGGGTTGGTGGTAGGTGGTGCATTGGCAAAACACTGTCATATGTAGCTGAAGAAACTCTATACCGATTCAACTTCCATTTTGGACACCTTTGATTTGGGTATTAATATACATTAGCCGTTTACCCATGATGATTGGTTCATATCCATGTGGCTTGTTATCTCCTATTCTCCACACTGTTTACTGAATTGGTAGCCAATTGTTGTTATGAATCCTCAGTACGTTGAATTACATTGATATATCCACAGATATTGCTACGGTACATATCATATTGCTAAATCCTTGGTACATATTGCTAAGATCCCCCACAAATGTTGCTTGATATATCCACTGTGTAATAAAGTTCTAGTTATTCCTCAGGGTCCCTGAGTGAAGGATCAAGATTACCCGGACCACAGATTTTCGCCCAATGACTTGACCCATGTCGCCAGTATAGCCATTGTGGATATGATACACCCCATGACTTGCGAATACCTCCCAATTTTCGACGTTTTGTCCTTAGACCTCCGAAAGCGGGTGTTTGTTGAATGACAGGTGGCTGCCTTGAACCTGCGACTGGAGGAGGTCTTCGCCAGACTCAACGAGGCGGGTCTATCTTTAACTGGAGGGTATGGTCTATGGTATATCTAGTGGACCTAGGTATATACATGTTTCTTTATTTATTCATTTGTTTATTTATGCATGGTATTCAAGTACTTATTGGGAAACTGTTTGCTAGGGTATAAACTTTATGTGGAAAATCAGGGAATATCTATATATACAGTCTGCGTATGTGTTATGTTATCATCCCAACACTGGTCCTCTGGTCGTGGGCCTTCTGTGTCATAGCCCAAGAATCCCATTGAAATTTGGGTAATATAGGCCCAGTTGAAGGAATTCTTGGGACCCTTGGGATGTAAAACATCATTGGTTCTATTACACAAGGGTAAACCAAGAAATCGATCTGGAAAAATCAAGGGGGTTCCTAGCCACATCGGACTGTTAGCGTACAGAAAAGGAAAACCCTCCGATTTTGTTGAAGCACATGTCATTTTCTTGGTGAAAATCCTGATGTTTGTTGGATAAGAAAGACAGCAATTTCATTGGATCATGCCCAGCGGTTGGGTCTACTGCATTCATACTTACTACTGTATCTCTTTTTATAGACTGATGAATTTACAATGAATATGGTAAGCCCAATATTTCTGTTTCATTTATCAGGTATATCACAATGTATATCATATATCCCATTATATAGCCTAATGTGGGTAAAACAATGTCATGTTTACCACCCGACTGGGAATGGTTTGGTAAACATCCCACCAATCCAAAATGGTGATGTCTGGGGGGTGGTGTTTATTTTACCCACATTAATTTGGTTGGTGGTTTGGAACATGTTTTATTTTTCCATATATTGGGAATAATCATCCCAACTAACTTGAAATATATGTTTCAGAGGGATTGAAACCACCAACCAGTAATAATCATTAATGGTGGTTCATGATAGTTCATGGTAGTTCATGATGGTTAATGATGATTCATGTAATGGTTAATGATGGTGATACCCACATTATACCCTATGAACATCAGGAACCTAAGAACATTCAGTGGATTCCCAAAATGATACCCTATGATTCATTCATTTTGGGAACACATCAGGAAATCCACATTTATACCCACATTATTCATTGGCCATTTCAGGAACCTAAATATGGTACATGACGGGGGATGAGCGTCAGCAGCGTCAGCTGGAGCTGGGCATCGATACCACCGGCCGTGGCGGTGTTGCCCTGCGCTTGAGGCTGGTTCCAGAAAGATCTTCGGATGGATCTAGTGGTGAAAGATGAGCATGCTGAAATGTGTATATAATATATATATATATATGATTATTTATGCATATATATATATATATACATACTGTAATCACGTGTATATATATATAATATAAATAGATAGATAGATAGATAGATAGATAGATATATAGATAGATAGATAGTGATGTGTAGGTGTGAAAATACACAATTGATCATCAATATATATATATATACATATTTCATATATGTTCAGAAAAATAGTTCTGACATTAGAATCAGAATTGGCGCTTCAGACTCTGCACAGGTTTGAACAGATGCAAAGCTCCGTGGGGACAGCACAGCGCGATGGAAGGCCCCGAGGAATTCCATCCTATCGAGGATGAAGGGCTGATATTCTTGGGACAGTTGCTGGCAGTACCACCCATGGACTAGTACCATCATTTTTTTTTGCATATCTAATATCCTCAGTTGTGGAAACATGCCTCTCCACATTCATGCTGACTCCGGTTGAAACCAGACTGTCGTGGTTTTGTCCCAATCATTTTTACATCAGTTCTCTGTGTATATCTATCGGTATAAGTTGTATATGTTTGTATGTGTATCTATAAATACGTGTGTATATATATATATATTATTTACGGCACATAGTATACTGCATTTTTTTGATATGAGCTGACATAGAATAAATTAGATGATATTAGTTCATGTTCCTCTCAAGACAGGACATTTCCGGCCATGGGACATACGATGTCACCTGACCGGCCAAGGTGGAACTGCGGTTGACGTCACTGGCAGCTGATATGGCGGATGCCAATGCCTGAGATGGGATGTGTTCAGGGAAATCTCTTGATCTTTTTTTGGTGGGAGTCCAGGTAGCAATGGGAAATCATTCATTTGAAGTCGATTTTCCTATTTCTATCTCCGTTTGTAGTGCATTGCTACGTTTGATTCCGGGAGGATGAAGGTGTTCCATGGGAAAATCATTGCCCAGCTAGCCACGTTACAGAGCCTATGGATGCGAAAGCACCAGCCACTGGTTGGCCCTGCGGCTGGTTTGAGCTATGGCCTTCGGTCCATTACGTTACGACATGAATTGTGAAGAATGAGATTGGGCCCAACCGTATTCCGGTAACCAAAGCGGTTATTCTCCCCATGACCAGGGTTTGGTGAGCTCTGAAAATTCTTATACCTTCGACCATCATGCCTACTTTGAGACCAATGTGACGTTTGAAGCAAGTCATGATATTGCACGGGCGGCAAGAATCTCAGGTTTCTGAGGTTTATCCATCAAGGGTCCACAGCTTCTGAGGTGTGCACTCGGCAGCATGCCATGGAACGCGGCCTCAAGAATGAGGCACCCTGCAAGATGGAAAAGCTACCCTCTGGTAATTTAAGTTACATAGCTATTGAAAATGGCCCAGTCGAAATAGTTGATTTACCTATTAAAGATGGTGATTTTCCATAGTTTTTTTGTAAGTTTACCAGACGCTACACCCAGGGTCCAGCTTGGACGCATGAGTTGTCAGGTACGTGAGCCGCTTCAGGTGCGCTGGGACGTAGATGGGTCAGTGCATCGGGGAGCCCATGGGACCATGATACCATGGTCGTTTTGAGATGTTTTGATCAAGAAAAATGATGTGTTTTCAGCATTTTTAATATGGATTAAAGTTAAAATATGGATTAAAGTTAAAGTATGTTAAAGTATAAATAAATATATAACATGTATATATATATATATGAAAATGATGTGTTCGTATAGACACAGAAAGGAGTAGTTTGAGACAACCCCAGCCTTTGCAGGGCCAAAAGGCGACGCTTTGTGAAACCGGTTCAAGATAACCTTAGTTGGCGCACAGAACTTGGCCAACTGTTGAGTTGATTAGGGGGTATAACGAACTAGTGAATGGGGTTTATTTATCAAAAAATGAACATAACTGTCACACTTAAGTTCAACCATTGCATTCTGAAGATGCTGTTCGTCCATGGAATGATCTTCCTTTCCAGTACAAGCTACTCATGACATTGTGGTGAAAGAACTGCTAGCTCCCAAGTTCCATATGAATCAGGCTCCACATCATGATATCATGGTGGTACGCCATGTACAACTGTAAAAGCAGGTCCCCTTTGTAGGTACCGCAGCCTTGCGATCCATTCCTGCAGCTTTTGTCTTCCTAGTTGCTGATATCCGACCCCAGGTCTTCCTAGCTCATCCTTCATTTGTATGCCTATAATCACCTCTATGATGTAACCCCCAAAAAAAATAGAGCAATCATGAGCAATCTAAATATCAACCGCTATTTTGTTAGGATTTTGCTTATCCATCTGTTTTGGGGGTTGCTATATGGGGGGTTCCTAAAATAGGGACACCCCCAAATCATCAATTTTAGTAGGATTTTCCATTATAAACAATCCATTTTGGGGTATCCCCATTTATGGAAACCCCATATATCTAAAGACACCAGACACACATGGCCACAGCCTCAGGCAGATCTATGGGAGCGGACACGCCGGATGCGCTGAGCGCTTCCATCTCGCGAGAGGGGCGGTGACCAAGTGCCAGGTTGATAGCTGGAGATAGCTGGTGAATTCAAGGCAATTCTTTGGAAAATTTGGAAAGTTGATGATTTATGCCATGCTATACTGGTTGGTGGTTTGGAACCATGGAATTTTATGACTTCCCATTCAGTTGGGAATTTCATCATCCCAACTGACGAACTCATATTTTTTCAGAGGGGTAGGTATACCACCAACCAGGCATTCTTTACCCTGAAAATTTGGAAAGAGCCCATTTCTTGAGCCAACTGATCATGAAAAATAAGATCAGCACACAACAGGGCAACAAATTGGGGAGTCTGGCCAGACATTGGGAGATTAAGAAGGGGCACAACAAGAAAGTCAAATATACTCTGTGTATATATATATATGATTGAGGAATTATGATGAATGATGTTTATATTATATATTCTTTTAAGGACGCATCATGAATCATGAAATCAAAAGTACCAACCACCGTACTGTTTTTTTTGGCAAAAAACGCCGGTAGGTTGGTCAATGCTCAACGCCTCAGTCAGCGGATGATGCCACTGTTTTTCTTAAGCAATCCAGATGGAGCCACTTCATGGAAGATGTGACACGTGAAGAAAAGTCCAGAGAAATGAGATCCCTGTTTGAGATCCAGAAAGGCCCATTTTGTTTTTGTGAAAAAATCAGAAAAGAGCAGCGCATCACCTGAGTGTAGATCAGGAATCCCAATCCATTGGGATCGGCCCTGTAGTTCGCTGACCGGGAGGAGTTAATGCTCATCAAGGTGCAAGCGGAAAAATATGGGCCGTGCATGATTCAAGAGGACCGTGCAGATTTGGCCAACAAGACCATCTTAAAATCGTGTTCGGACAGGACGGGAACAGACCGCGGGAACATGTTGTTTGAAGGTGGATTGAAGAGGTGTCTGGTGGTGTGTTCTTTTGGTTTCTGGGGAGAAATCAGAAAAAGATCAGATAGTGATTTGTTTTTTTTGGTGGTTGACTGGTTTATACTGGTTTGGGTGGGGAAAGTTGCATGCTGTTCCATCCAAATTCTTCATGACGGGATGACTGACGACAAACGGTGGACAACGGCGGAAGGATGGAGGACGAAGGATGCAGGACGAAGGATGCAGGACGGAGGACGAGAAAGGGATGAGAAAGGAATGATAGATAATGGATAATGAAATGAGAATAATTTTGGATCATTTTGTATCCATAATATGGAAATTCTTATATGTTGTTTATATTTTGATATTCAATAATATACATGAGCCACCGCAAAAACCCCGGCAATACTAAATATGTATTGGACGGACATTGGTTTATGGAAATTGATGGAAATTGTTAAAAACACACGGTAAGCGATGGCGGGACCTTCCCAAATTAGCGATACCCCTTTTCAAGGTTATGTCATTGTATTTTTCTAATATCTACATTAGCGATACACAAATTGGACGTTGATTTCTGTGAATTGAATACAAAAAATGTAGCAGTTTCCTGCAAGCGATACCCCCCAAATTTACCATATATTATTATTGTACAAACGTGTGGTAAGCGAGATTGCTCACATAATATAAATTAATAATATATATATATAATGAATAAAAAAATATAATTATTCTTTTTTATTATGATGCGGCACATAACGAAACTCACAAATTGTGCAAGGCAGCACTGGTAAAATCGCTTGATTTGCATTATTTTTTTTTTACATTTATATTGAAAAATTTTTGTTATGGATTTCTGACTGCTTGTTATGTTAATACAATGAAAAAATTAGATGTAATGCTTAGTACCTTAAACTTAAGACTACTATATCTTAGGAAAATTCTGTGTTATTTAGCAATTAAAAAATTATTTCACTTCGAATGATCCCCACCATGACATTATACATTTTTTTACTGGCAAATCTTCTGACATTCTATCTGATATATCTTCTGGCATTTTATCTGACATTCTATTTGGCATATCTTTTGGCATATTTTCTGGCATTTTATCTGGTAAATTTTCTGGCATTTTATTTGGCATATTTTTTGGCATTCTATCTGATATTCTATTTGGCATATTTTCTGATATTTTTTTCTGCCATTCTATCTGACATATCTTCTGATATTTTATCTGACATATCTTCTGACATTCTTTCCGGAATATTTTCTGACATTCTGTCTGATATATTTTTTGACATTCTTTCTGATATTTTATCTGGTATATTTTCTGACATTCGGACCATTCGGATAGACATTTTTTCTTACATTCTTCTCGTTGAGGTCTGGTAGTGCCTATTGTGATTTGGAAATCGCGGTTGAGGTTCGATAGTGCCCATTGTGATCTGGAAGTCGCGGTTGAGGTCCGGCAGTACCCACTACGATTGGCAGTTGCGGTTGAGGTCCGGCAGTGCCTACTGGGATTTGGCATTCGCGGTGGAGGTCCGGCTGTGCCTACTGGGATTTGGACTGCGAGGAGGAGGTGGAGGCGGAACCGAGAAACAACTCTGATAAAATCTAATGACCCTTACCTGACAGGTGGGGAAAAAGAAAATTACTTGTACAAATTTATACGTAATTTTACCCGCTAGATTCCCGTTAGCAATGGGATGGTAAAAAACGATTTTGGCTGACCAACGGCCTAATTATACCTAATTATTTAAAAAAATATATAATTGATATGTTTTATTTAATAAAAATAATACGATATTGGAATAATTTCCTAAATATTTGGATTGGAAATTATATTTTGTTTTTTGAATTGTAATTTATAAATCATATTTTTTGAATTTATATAAATTGGAATAATATATAATTTTTTTAAGGTTATAATAATTTAATATTTATAAATTATTTTTGGAAATTTTTATAACATAATAAAAAATGTTTGTTTTTTGATAAATTTTATATATATATTAATTTTTAAGATATTATTTTTATAAATTAATATATTAATTATTTCTAAATTGGGAGGAAATGGAATAGGGTATGAAATTAGCAAGAAAATAAGGAGAAATTAAAATAATTAATATTTGATATTAAAATATTATATATTTTTTTATATATTCGTTGAAATTTTTGTTATTAAATCTGAGGCCTTAGGGCCGTTACAGAATGGTTTTTGGCTATTATTTTGTGCAAAATTTTGACCCTGGGTTTTGCTATTTTGTAAGTGGACCCCTCCCTGGTACCGGAATTTTGCATTGGAAGTGCGAATTTGTTACCTTCCAGTCCCGACCATTCTGTCGGAGTCTGGAGGGCTAATTAATAATTACTACAAATTGGATGAATTCAAAGCGTAAATGGATAATACTCAACTATAGCCCCTACAAACTGGATGGAATCAAAAAATCACAGAATAATTTTCATAGCCTAGGAGATCTTAAATAAGAGTGTATATTGAATGCATCAAGTTCCAATGCAGTCTGATAAGTGCACTTTATTGATGCCAATATGAACAAATTTAACATCAGTCGCGACTCGGGTTGGCCGGACTGTTCCAGGTTACTTCCCAGGGATCCTAGGATAGTGCGAGTATAGCCACCCCCAGTCCCCACCATTCTGTAAAGGGCAAATCGAGCTAACGGATGCGAGCGGATGCGAGTCGAGCAAAATCGGTGACTTATTTTGTAACTAGGGGTCAGATAATATATATATATATCGATATTTATATATTTTTTGATTATGACATCCAACGTTTTATTTAATGTTTAGCTTGGCCACTCAGACAGCGTCACGCCAAAACAGACGGATGAACGCAAAAGAACGGAAAAAATGAACCGCGACTCGGGTTGGCCGGGCTGTTGCACGTTACTTCCCAGGGATCCTAGGATAGTGCGAGTATAGCCACCCCCAATCCCGCCATTCTGTAAAGGGTAAATCGAGCCAACGGATGCGAGCGGATGCGAGTCGAGCAAAATCGGTGACTCATTTTGTAACTAGGGGTCAGATAATATATATACCTTGGTCTTCCTAGGCCTGTCTTATTTCCGACCTTACTGAGAAAAACAACCCTGACTACCCAGGGGCGGAAAAAATGGCCAGGGGCAGAAATCAATATTTACCAGTTTTGGACCAAGATTGAGGGTCATTTCAAGTGAATCCTGCTGCCACCAGGCCCTGCACACGGCCACAGGTTTCTTTCAATCAGCGCTGAAGCTCAAGTCGGTCAGGCAAGAACATTTCCCAGACCATAGCTTTCGGCCAACTAATTTTCCAAAGTAACTTCCATACTTCAATGAATCCAAGATAGGATCAAAAACATTCAGCTGGAAGTCAAAACAATAGAACCTCCGCCACTGGAGCTATGCCATTCATGGGTTTGGCCCATCCCAATCTGGCCTGGGAAATGGTTGGCCCGTCTCATTTATTAACAAACGTGCTGGGAGATCAGACATGGCTTACTTTTCAGATTGTTGTTTTTGGAAATTCAAAGTTTAAAGTTTCAACCACGGAAGCATGGAGAAACACACTTCAAAAATCATATAAATCGACATGACAGTCTGCAACCTCTTGAAGGAGCTCCTGAATTGATCTGAAGTGTTTTTCCCAAGGTACTGCAGTACTGCTAGGTGGCATTTATAGCTTTTGCCATGCCCTCCCACAGCAGACTTGGCCGGCCCGCTTCAGCTGAGTTGGTTCCTGCCGTGCTGGAGCAAGCGGTGGTTGAACCAGAGAAGCCACTTTCGTTGGGCCAATAGTGGGAAGCTTGCCGGGTGATTCGAAGCCGGTTGAGGGAAAATAACTGGACGCTTTTAAAATGGGTGAAGCCAGAATTGGTGAATAAACCAAGTATGCCTGCCATTGCGTTGAATTGCCGGGCATTAACCATTCTGGCGCAGTGGTGGTGCCCTCAGCAACGGAAGCCCAAGTCCGCATCGGTGCTAGATCTCAAGAAAGAGGCCATGTGTTTCAAACCAAAAGTCTTTTGAAGGGAAGCTTGCAAAAATAAAACATTATGATATATGGCTGATGTTCTTTACGGTCCCCAATGAGCATGTGAAAAAATGGGTGGATATGACAACATTGATATTATTGATCAAATGTCTTGACAATTCGTTTTTGGCCCCTGTTTTTGTGGGATGTTTTCAATTCCCTTCAAGGTTCACATCTTGCGGTCGATCTGCTGTGCTCCCCTCGACCCTGTGGCCTTACATGCTGACGCTTGGGGCTTGAAGAAGCTCTTCACATACGGCGTCAGGAAGGGTGGCCATGACAAGGTGATGGAAAAGAGCCCACAGCGAAGAGATCTTTGGTTGTGCACAGCAAACCAATGGGGGTTTTAAAAAAGTATATGTTGCAATATTCATTATTATTATTAGATACGATGTGGATTTTTTTTATATCGAGATATTATATAATTCTATTTGATCATTTTATTGTAAACTATAACTATAGAATATCTATAATGATAGTGGGCAACTTATATATAATTACTCTTCAAACACAGTATCCTGCTGTCACTTTCGCACTGCAAGTTCCAAATCCATCTTCAGTTTGGCCAGCCCAGGACACTGCAGTGAATCCTTTCTTTGATGAGCTCTGGAAGCATTGGTACGTGCAATCTGGATGCACCGACATTCCCGTCGAAGTGGATGACTCAGATGATGAGAGCTCAGACTTCACAATGTACCTGTGTGTGAAATCTGACCCATATGGTCCTGCTCCTGATGGTAATGGTGGGGCTGTGAAAGCCGGGAAGTCAGAGCTTGCTCCGCCAGTTGTGGCACCGGTGGAGGAGCCGACCATTCCTGTTGAGAAGTTGGTCATCGTTGAGGACTCTCCACTCAAGCTGACCACAAAGAAGGAGGAGGTTGATGCAATGCCCATGTCTACAGCTCAAATCGAGGGCAGGATTACAAAGCTCAAGTTTCTTGCACTGACACTGACACAGCAACTCAGTTTTTCTTTCAGCCCCCAAGATTTGCAAAACGAATATATGGCATCTGGGTCTAGGCGTCTAGCCACCATTTCAACAACATGGGTCTTTTGGGTTTTCACCCCTTGATTAGATTGCTACTGGCTCAGCGAGCTGCTTCGACCTATGCACGTGACAATGCCGAGACCCAGCCACTGTCTTCTCCGCTGGCTTCGGCTGTGGCTGCAACTTTGGTGGGGCACTCACCTTCACCACCGGAAGGTCTGGAAGGCTTTCCGGCTGGCCAACCCTTGAAGCGATCACTGGAGATAGATCTTGGGAGTGCTGTGGCTAGTGAGCCAACGGAAGAGCCAGTTCCTGAGCCAGCAATGTTGCCTCCTGCACTGGACACCCTTGCTGATGTGGCTGAGGACGAGGGCTACGTACCAACTTCACCGGCAGAAACACCTCAAGAGCCTTGTGCAGGAACAATGATCAAAGATGAAGACCCTGCAGCACCTCTTGTCAAGGACACTGAGACTGACAAGGCTGCAGAGCCTGAAGCTTCTGTTCCCATGGACACCGAGATTGACAAGGCTGCAGAGCCTGAATCTTCTCTTCCCATGGACACCGAGACTGACAAGGCTGCAGAGCCTGAAGCTTCTCTTCCCATGAACGCCGAGACTGACAAGGCTGCAGAGCCTGAAGCTTCTCTTCCCATGGACGCCGAGATTGACAAGGCTGCAGAGCCTGAAGCACCTCTTCCCATGGACACCGACCAGACTGACAAGGGTGGAGAGCCTGAAGCACCTGTGCCCATGGACACCGAGATTGACAAGGCTGCAGAGCCTGGACAGCCTTCAGAACCTCTTGCCGTGGACATGGGCATCGAGAATGATAAGGCTGCAGAGCCTGAAGAACCTCTTGTCGTGGATGTGGACAAGAAGATGGAAGGTAAACCTGAAGAGTTTGTTGAGATTGTGGATGACTCTCAGCCTCCTCTGGGTTCTGGAGTGGATGCCCAGCCAGACTCGTCGAAAAGATGCTTGAGGCTGCCTATGAACAGGACTCAGAGGAGCCACCTGTTGTGAAGCGAACTGAGCAATGGAAGCTGAAAGCTGCCAGCAAAACGCCCAGGGGCAGAAAGCCCAAAGCAAAGGCCAAGGCTGGTGCAAAGCCTAAGGCTGGTGCAAAGCCTAAGGCTTCTGCAAAGGCTAAGGCTGGTGCAAAGCCTAAGGCTTCTGCAAAGGCTAAGGCTGGTGCAAAGCCTAAGGCTTCTGCAAAGCCTAAGCCTGCTGCAAAGGCTAAGGCTGATGCAAAGCCTAAGGCTAAGGGAAAGAACAAGGCCGAGGTTGATGGAGAGGGCATGGCTCTTGAAGAGCCTGCGCCAAAGCGCAGACCTGCTGCTGGGCGAACCAAGCACCACATCTCCATCGACGACATTGTGGAACCCACACCTGCGTCATGGAAAGCGGACCCAGCACCACCAGCACCTGTCCCGAAGAAGAAGAGGATGGCTCGCACCAAGAAGTCTGCTTTGGAAGAACGTGCTGCTGCTAACCAGTTGGCCAAGGAGCCTGCTGATCAACCAAAGATTACTTGGGGTCCTGTTTCAAAAGAAGGCGCAGAAGCTTTTCAAAAAAACTTGTCCCCTTTGCAGGAAGCCGATGCTGGAGCTGAACCTTCTGCCAGTGCTGATGGACGTGGGTCAGCTCAGCCTTCTGTGAGCGCTGGTGGGCATGAGTCAGCTGAGCCTTCTGCCCGTGCAGGTGGCGATGCCATTGGCGCCAATGATGATGAGAGCTTTGCCCGTCGCTTTTGCCCGCAGAGAAGCCCAGCGAAGGAGAAGTGGTTTGTGCTGCGCAAGGTGTTCTTGGACGAGATTCAGGAGTCTGCTGAGGGCCTGGGATCGTCTTGCAGCAAACTTCAGGCTTGGTTCTTCCAAAAAGATTTGTTCCATAAATCATGAGGTGTGCACAGTCTCCGTTGTTTCAAATTAAGATGTTAAGTTTCTCTCGTTTTTGCACACTGTTGAAACCGATTCCCCAGCTACGCACTGCAGGCTGATTGGTGGACCTATACTCGCAAGAAACTGGAGGAGGTTGAGGTTCCACCCTTTCAGGACTCAGAGCAGTTCAGCGCCGCATTTCATGCGCTCGTGCACTCCTTTGTGCAGCCGTTCCTGGATGAGAACGGCCATCAGATGGAGGATTCTGAGGACTAATTCATTCACCAGAGTCCTGCTTTGAGTCATGAGCAATGGGCCCTCCAAATATCAGAAATTTATTGCAATTTCTGCAACATACATCATACAATAAATGACGATTATGTCACATCAATGTTTTACTAAATATACTTTATACCGTATACTTGATTTATCATACAAGCTATGGAGTATTTATATTATGTATGGAGTATGGACCAATTGTGGAATTGGAATGGAGGGGTTACGATGCGGCTTGTGACCTGCGGCAATTCTTGCCACTGCAGTGCTAGCAGCTGCTAGCAATCTTCAACTGTTCCAAGTGAGTGATGTTGTGTTCATTCGACACAAATTGATTTCCTACGACCATGTCACATTTGGGCATGAGGCTCAAGAAATTCATTGGCCTCTGGGGTTGAACAACATGGAGGGAAAAAAGACGTGTTTCATAGCGACGTGATCTTGGTGCAAATTGTTGTCCAAATTTCTAGTTGTCGAATTATTGAAATCAAAAACTGACAACCTTTCAAACGTCCGAAAACCAATCACCACAATCAACACCTTGTTAGACTTGACCTTTTCACCATGGACGGATGTTTCATTTCTGCCATGTGGCCAGGCTCAATGTTTCCGAAATTGCGTGAAGGCATCAACTGTGCCAAGTTCGGCATTGGTCCTCGGCCGAAAGGTGACCCTGGCTATGGATTGCGGGTGATGTGCGAGATCTCTTTTGTTCTGAAAAACATGGAGCAATGAATGTTTGATCTTCAGCCTTGGTATGGTTCCAGGACGTTCCAGTTTATCACTAGCTGGCCCCAAAGGAAGCAAACAGGCTTCAAACACATTGACATGCAATCCACTCTATGATAGAGTTATTGCAATAATGTATATATAACCTATATTCATACCTATTCTATGATTAACATATGACATTTGTGCCGCAGGGATATACTGTGAACATTTCATCAACTAGCCTCGCTGAATGCAGCCATGACCCCATCGCAATTTGAGCTGTTTATGCGCCGCCTGATCAAGATGAAGACACCCAAAGCCACTCAGCATACAGTTCATCCCTATAGATTCCTTAGATAACTTGGATTTGGCGACATGTAATTGGTCATTGAAAATTGTTCTTGAATGTTCTTGATGTAAGTAAACAACCCATATAATATATATAATTTTCTAATTTTCCTATCTCCCAATCCTGAGGTTGTCGTGATGCTGGTCCTTTTGACCTCCTGGCTCGACATGCCCGTGCAAAACAAGGCTCCATTCCAGGTTCTCGAATACTATGCTGGGGTGGCACGGATCGCTACCTTGGCAAAGTTTCTGGGGCTTCGCGGTGCTGCTGTTGACATTGAATATGGAAAGCATAACAAACCGAAGTCAGAGAGACCCCCAATGGATATAAACAGCGATGCTGGGCTGATGTGGCTAGGTATCATTTGGACTGTGTTGTTGTTTTTCTTTCAATTTCTTTTCCTGTTTCATGGTGGATGAAATGATATACCAAAAAAAACTTCAGAAACCTTCAGAGTATGCATGCATTTTCCAACTGAGTCTATGTATCCACCTTATACTAACTTCTGACCCGGCATTGGCGCTATTTCTTGCAGTGGTATGCAGTACATGGGTTCCAGTCAACAGGGGCTCAACACAACGCTCCATACTCACACCCCTTGGGTGTGAGGATTTTCCAGGGGTGCGTCGAGCTAACAAGATGATGTCCAGGACACGGTGGTGATAAATGATGGCATTGGAATCATGTTTGAACAGTTTTGAACTATAGTACTGTAACGGTAATATTCATTTAAAATATACAGTATACATGTGATCTTGAATTATAACATGGTGCCTTTGGTATGAATAAAAATCAAGTGTTTTTTTCAGGAGCGTTATCTTGATGTTGTTGGCAGTAGCTCTTGGTGGCGATTTTTACCTGGAGAACCCCCACAATTCACTGATATGCATGCATCCTCGCTATGTTTGGTTTATGGAAAGCCTAATGGAATTGGGTATACCGGAGCCTCCTTGGTATTCTTGGTACAATCTTCTTTTTTTGTTGATAATCTACTGTAATACCTGGGCCCTCGGAATAAATCAATATGCCCTTAAGATACTTTGCCATTGACAACATTGCCATCTAAGACCTATAAGATTACATTTTGGATGCGGAAATGGGGGTCGTTGAGCTTTAAACATACTTGGATTTGGTCTATATCAATCATTATTTCAATACTGGATGCAGGCTCCCTCACACAAAAAGAGAAAAACAGCAGCATATCTTTGACCACCAGATACGTTGACAAACATGGCCGGAAGAAGTTCAAAGGAAACTCAAAGTTGAAGTAGTCCCAGCAGCCCTACTTCAATTGGCATTGTGAGATATTTTTTTTTTATTTTACAACTTCCCCCCTTCAAAAAAAAAAACAATTATGAAGGTCTTGTTTGAAACTCCTGTGCTTCCTAATCCAAGGCACTATGCCTTCAAATTTGCCGGCAAGATGGTGCGGGTGATGGACCAGGCACGGCGTGATGCTGCGCAACGTCCGCCCCGCATAGAGGCTGGCAACATGAAGTGTTCAGGCAATAATAATATCAGCAATCAAACATTGGTCAATTAACTAATCTTCAGGTTATTGATATTATAGAAATGTGCTAGTGTCTGTTTCATGTGTTTCTCCATGTGTCATTGCCATCAAAGTCTTCACTATTTTCTTTTGCTTGTAATCCAGGTGATTTCATTCGATTCTCTCATCACACTTTTTACGAACATGGAGTGGTGCAATGAGTCAATAGCATGGGACGAAGAGGGAGATTTTCGCGATGCCATCAGGTATGCACGGGGTTCAAAAAAACTTCGCATTCCTCCAGAATGGAGGGATGCACTTCCAATCACTATTCCTCCCTTGCAGCCGTGAACCGCTGTGCATCTAGGAAGTTGGCAGCTTTGAAAAGATGCATCGATCTGGTTCCCAAAAGAACACTGTTTATATGAAATTGTTTTCGATCGATCTCTATTCAGTTCCCCAAAGAAATTAATTTCATATGAAATGTGTTATCCTGGGTTGGCAAAACGGACTTGTTTCATATGAAATGTGTTATCCTGGGTTGTCAAACTGATTTTTTTCATATGAAATGTTTTCCTGGTTGGCAAAACTAGCAGATGTTTCATATGAAATGTGTTATCCTGGGTTGGCAAAACGGACTTGTTTCATATGAAATGTGTTATCCTGGGTTGGCAAAACGGACTTGTTTCATATGAAATGTGTTATCCTGGGTTGTCAAACTGATTTTTTTCATATGAAATGTTTTCCTGGTTGGCAAAGCTAACAGATGTTTCATATGAAATATGTTATCCTGGGTTGGCAAAACTGACTTGTTTCATATGAAATGTGTTATCCTGGGTTGGCAAAACTGATTTTTTTCATATGAAATGTTTTCCTGGTTGGCAAAACTAGCAGATGTTTCATATGAAATGTGTTATCCTGGGTATGTTAGCAGATGTTTTATATGAACGGTTTGGGGTAATTCATATGAATTCAAATTAAGGTTTGAGGTAATTCATATGAAAAGGATGTTTCATATGAAAGGTTTGGGGTAATTCATATGAATTAAGGTTTGGGGTAATTTATATGAAAAGGATGTTTTATATGAAAAGGGATGGTTTCATATGAAAAAATAAATTTTCATATGAAATTGAAAATCTTAGGGGCGGAAATACCCGGGATAGGGGCGGAAATACCCGGGATAGGGGCGGAAATGCCCGGGCACCAATTTTGAGATTGACATGTTTACACTTTGTCAGGACGGCCAAGTTTCATATGAAAACCTGGTTGCATCTACACTTTTTCAGGACGACCAAGTTTCATATGAAAATATGGTTGCATCTACACTTTTTCAGGATGGCCAAGTTTCATATGAAAACCTGGTTGCAAATACACTTTTTCAGGACGGCCAAATTTCATATAAAAACCTGGTTGCATTATATGCTCAAGGGATCCAATTGTTTTGGGGTGTTTCACACATGGAGCTTCCATCCCGTTTGTGGTCGTCGGCTACTTTGGATTCAGGGGCCAGCTTGATTAAATCGGAGGCTGGTATGGGTTCATCAGAGAGCATGGAGTTTGACTCAAAAACCGATGAGGAGTTGTACGCGGAGCTCATGCGCTTAGAGGATTGGAACACAATTTCATAGGGTCCCAAATAATATGACATAATATATAGAATGCAGCTACAGTACTATCAGAAAAGTTTATATTAATATCACATATCGATCGACGATGAACACCCATATATAAATTCCCTCGCACAGCTGATGTCAGGAGTACAAGGCGCAGCAGCAGAAGATCGAACAGCAGGGCGTGGCACCTCCAGTTCCCACCCCTGTTCGCAGCCACCAACCACCACCAGTGGTATCCCAACCGTCACCGGGGATGGATGAGTTGGCTGGGCCAGTGGTATCCCAGCCGTCACCGGGGATGGATGGGTTGGCTGGGCCAAATGAGGAAACCCAACCAGGTGAAATTGAAACACCAAAGACTGCTACTTGTTTCAACAACAGACCACCTTTTTTAGAGCAGCTATAGTGCCCCAAAATAGTTGTTTTATGTTATAGTCAACCAATATGTTTTTGGTTTCTGTCCATTGCATTTCGCTAGCACTCAGGATGCATGTGCTGATGAAGGTTCGGCCTTTGATTCACTGACTGAGAGTCAAGATATGGCTGATGTTTCTTATTGGCAGTGGTGGTATGGATCGAGTGGTGGTGTTTGATAGTCTGTAATTTTATACTGCCATTGCCAAGGTTGATTTGGCAACCGGTTTAGCCCAGTGCTTTGGCGCTGGCATTCCTGCTCCTCAACATGTCCCTGATGAACCAGTGCATGGCCCTGCTGTGGATGGCGATGAGTTGATGGTAGATGACGATCCATATGGCTTCTTTGAAAAAGCACAGGCCCCTGAAGCAGTATCATTTTCACCACATCTTTCGCCGCTCTGTTCGGTAGGTAGCGGAGGCTGCTGAGTCTGAGAAACAGGAGAAGCAACAACTCTTTGAACCCAATTATGTTGAGAGACTTCTTAAGTATCAGTCCCCATTATATACTTTTGGTGCTTTAGCTGGAAGGACCCTACTGGAAAGAACGTGAGCAATGTGGAGAACTTGCAACTGGACGCTTTCGATGTTCCAGCTGCTGGGGCCTAAACAACATCTCCCTGCAGTACAAGTGTTTAATGTAAACATTGCTGTAGTTTTCTTTCAAGATTCAAGTGTGCTTAGTTTGATTTACTTTCGTCAGGGTCCTCGGCGTTGTAGTAGCTGAGGTCAAAACCAAGCAGGTGAGCTCGCAGGGCATGAAACGAATCTACCGTCTCATGACCCCGCGAGAGGATGGATCCCTTCTTGTTCCCCAAGCCGTTCTGGATAAGTGGAAGGATACTGTGAATGGTGGCCGAGATGAAGTCAAACAACTTTGGCTCAATGCGAATGAAGACAAGGACTGTTAAACTTCCCAATCCTCAACTGGCCTGTTTTTCCCCAACGTCGCAGGAGCTTTTCATCCAACGGTGCAAGCGCATTGTGGAAAGCATCGAGGAGAAAGACCTATGGGTTGATGGGAAGTTCATGTCTGAAAAGGCAATGACCGACGATGGTATGGATGCGTGCTTTTGCTGAAATGCTGCAGTGTAAATTTTACAGTGTACATATAAACAGAATCTAAGAATCAACGTAATGTCCTTTTTGGGGGGCTCGACTTTACATGCAATGCCGAGGGCCCGGATTCTCGCAGTCAAAGCGGAGTGCAAGAAACACACGGGGTGGATCAGGTCACTTTCATGCATCCAGGGTGTTGTGCGCCAAACATAGAATTCAAATCAATCATCTTGCAGTCATTTGGCGGGTTGCTCCACCATTGCCAAAGGCGAGACCTGTACGAAAAAAACGTCCGGGTCTATTGGGTGGAGGATCCACTGGCTGGGCGTCGATTGAACCCTGGCTGGTTTTGATTTCCTGCTGGACAATTGCTTGGGCATCCATCTGCACATGTCAGCCATGTCAGCTAACACAATATATCGATCTATATATATATATACATGATTGGCGATATGATTATATATATATATATAATATGCATCATGCAACCACATCTCAGGAAGAGAAAGCGAACCACTTTGACCGCAGAAGAGGACGCCGACCCACAGGAGGTCGAAGACAGCATGAGAGACATCTCTGCGCCAGATAATTTCGATCTTCCGGAGGAAGTTGAAGGACATAAAACATTAATTAACACATTATATCACATGCTAATTACATATTGCGTTATTTAATTTTACAATTGTTAATGTATTATATATAAGCAGCTGCAATCTACATACGCTCGAAGTTGAATATGAGAAAAATCGTTCTTGTTTGTGTGGTGTTACCCTGCTAGAAGCCGAAGTCCTTTTGGATGCGGATTCCAAAGAGAACCAGAAGTCCCAGATGAAAGCGATTGCGTTTCCTCTCATGGACGACCCTGATGCTTTGCCTTCGTCCTACATCACCAAGGTGTTGACTTGCGTGAGTAAGTGGTCTTGTAAGCTGCAAAAGCTTACTGAAGGCGCTGGTCCAGATGTGACACCTAATGCCTCAATGGATGCGTTTCTTTCCTCCATTCAGTTTTTCCATTTGCCCTTATGGACATCAGCATGCTGTAATGTAACAAAACAGCCCAGGTTGTCCCAGAAGGCTTTGGCGATTGACAAGGAGCTTACGGGATTGACTGACAAGCTGACACAGGTCCACACGAAAGGCATTGTTGATGGCTACAAAAGAGAGTAGCTTGGATTAAAACACACATTTCAAAATAACAGTTTCAACCTGCCAATCCGGCAACTCCCCAACCCTTGCTTCAATCTATATATGCATGTATATATATATAAACCTCTCCTGCCCAGGTGCCAGGACAATCTGAAGACAGTCTATCGCAACTGCCAGATGAAGTGCCTTGGATCGATACCATGCTGCCATTGGTGTGCTGATGTGACTCCGGCATCTCATTACCATGTTTTTGGTTCGAGTTTGTGGGACATGCCATGCAGGATACGGATTAATAGAACAACATCAGCTATGATCCAGGCTTGCAAGTAGAGCTGCCTTTATACTGCTATGGCTATAACATGCTATAACGTTACTGCATGATGTTTTCAAAGAGTATTTCAGAATATGTGCATATACCGAAATCACTTACCTATATCGACAGACTTGATGTGATATAAATACCCTTGAATTGTAAAATTCCTGCCACAATTGTATTCCGAATATGTTACACACCACCTTTTCCTCGGGCCATGGATGGCGAAGATGACTT